GAGGTGACACTGCATGTACATAATTGGCCAATTACTATTGAAGAGGACAGTATTTATTTATTAATTTATTTAGCTTGTTGCCACATAGATAATTTTAAGCATAAGTATACTGAATGATTCATAGTTACTCATTTTAAAAAGTAGACTTGGCCAATACTCACATTCTACCACACTATGTCAAATTTAATTTCAGCAAAAGGGTTCTGGATTCTGATGGGAAAGAAGAAAAAAAGCCTTGGAAGAAATGAGATAAGAAAAACTTTAATCAATCTATATTGTAGGAAAAATACCTATTTTCAATAATAATAGAAAAGTAATACAAGCTAGACACTCTATGTAACATGGTCCTAGAGGTCTCTATTTGTTTAAGTGATCTTAATAATCTTAAGGAAAACTAGCTGGAGGGTCTAACAAAGTAAAAATGGTAGACAGTAGGAAATGAGCATATTAAATGCAAAATAAATACTTGAAGAAAAACATAAAAATATGTAAAATATCTGATGTTCAGAGACATATTGAACATATCTTATTAGCTTGTCTGATTGTAATAGTAACAAAATATTCTTTTAATTGTGTGTTTGGCTAATAATACCTGTATCTAAAATATACTTTATATTAGTTTGGTTTCAAAAAGCAGGTAGTTTGTCTACATGTGCTATTAGAGATTTTAATAATGAATGCTTTATTGAATGAATTTCTAGGTCTCAATATTTCATTTACTGTCTTATATAAAGGTAAATGTGTGCAAGGTAATGTTCACTAGACATAGACAAATACTTCTGTTTTATTTTGCTTTTAAACAGGACTACACTATATAGCTTTGGCTAACCTGTATTTCTCTAGATAAAACTTGTAGTTTTGGCATTAAAATCATAACCTATTTGCCTTAGCTTCTCTGCCTAGTTTTGAGATTGAAGGCATGTGCCACTACAATCAACTAAGACCTTTTTCATCTCTTATACTAAAGGGAATCTTTCCTGTGTTCTATAAAATGTTATGCTTGTATTGATATTAATTATTATTGCATGTCTTTTTCTTCTTATGTGCAGTAAAATTTTTTCTTTATTAGTTTAAAATACATTTTTTTCTTCTCTGTTCTTCCAGACACAATACTTCAGTCTCTTTCCTAGTCCACCAAGAAAACAACAGGTGTGTTTCTCCCCTCCTTCCCACATGTCCTGTCTAATTCAAGACCATCTCCTAATATCCCTCCCTCAACTTGTCATTACTTTCTAGACTTCAATTCTGTCATGTACTCCCTGCTAAACCGTGGACCGTGCCTACCAGAAAATCATGCATGCTCTCAGCAGACCTCTCTTTCTGTAGAAAAATACTCATGACAGCCTTCCCTATACCTGTGTGCCTACCTCCTATGGATTCCTCAAATCTCTACTTCTAATCTTCTTCCACCACTTGTTGCTGTGTTCTAGACCCCAGGAGGAACTGTAGCCTCTGCTAACCTAAGGACCATTTCTCCAGCGCCAATGTAGGATGACAGTAGATCCACACATCTCCTACTCCTGTTATCCCTTATCCTGGGCCTCATTTCCTGCTGTATAGCAGGAAACTTGCTGTGGTTTCTCTCTACTCTGTGATCCTATTTAAAAAAAAAATCACAAAGACTTCTTCTCCAAACAAACTTTCTCCAACTTATTCCAGTATCCAAGCATCTTTAATCAGCATGCATCCCTTGTGTCATATTAGCTGAACAAGCCAGGAAAACATACAAGACAAAGGAATCACACTCTCTGAAAATCAAGAGGAAAACAGAAATTAAGGAATAAAACACCCAACTAACAAACATAAATTAGCACCTAGACCTATAATCATCCCATAAAACAGATGCCTAGATGCCAGCATAAAAAACATAATAAATAACAGAACAGTAAGTCTCCAAGAGATTCCAGCTATATCTATCACAGCAAGTTTTAAGTATCAAAATAGTTGAATCATAGGTAAAAAGCCTTAAAACATTCTATATGAAGATGGTATAAGTACTTGAGGAGGAAATAAATAAATACTTTAAAGAAATTCAGAAAAAAGAAACCAACAAAGAAAGAAGAAATGACCAATTCTCTCAAATAATCCAAGAAAATACAACAAACCATTGAAGGAAACAAATAAAACTCTTCCAGACATGAAAAATGAGAACAGAATCATGTCGAAGAAATTCTAGAAAAGAAAAACTTTCTTACTGGAACTGGAACTACAGGGGTAAAGTTATCCAAAAGAACATAAGAATAAGTGGAGGGAATCTCCAAAGTTGATAAGATAAGAAAAAAAATTAGATATACTGCTCAAAAAAAGTGTTTAATTAAATATAAAACAAATGAAAAACAACAACAACAAAAATCCAACTTGTGACTCAAAACATTCAGGAAACTGGTGACACAATGAAAAGATCAAGCCAAAGAATAGTAGGAACACAGAAAGAAGAAGAAACCCAGCTCAAATGGTTAGAAAATGTCTTCAATAAAATCGGAGAAATAATTTTGATAACATAAATAAGAGATAAAAATATAGCAGCGTACATAACACCAAGCAGACTAGACCAGAAAAGAAAGTCCCCTCACCACATAATAACAAAAACACTAAACATACACAACAAAGGAAAATACTAAAAGCTGTACAGAAAAAAAGGACAAAGCAAAATATAAAGGCATATCTATTGGAATTACACATAACTATTCAATGGAGTTTCTAAAAGCAATAAACAGCCTGAACACATGTACTGCTGCAGATTCTTAAGAGACCACAGATGCAACCCTAGACTACTACACCCACCAAAACTTTAAATCCACATAAATGGAGAAAATAAGGTATTCTATACATAAACAATATGTTCTACAAATGTATCCATAGAGAAAGCACTAGAAGAAAAAAAAACCCCTAACCTAAAGAGGTTAACTACACTCACAAAAGTTCAGGAACAATAATAGTAATAATAATAATAATAATAATCTCATATCTGGAAATCCAAAAAGAAAGTGCACACACACAGACACAGACACACACAGACACACACACACACATACACACACACACGAGACACATACAAGTACATGCAAATCAACTCCATGACCACCACCACCACCAAGAAATCATCAGAGTGCTAAAATCGGTACAATAGATATAAAGAAAAGAATATAAAGATTCAGTGAACAAAGAGTTGATTCTTTGAAAAAAAATCAACAAGATAGGCAAAGCCTACCCAAACTAACTAAAAAGATTGAGATATATCTAAATCAATATCTAAATCAGAAATAAAAAGTGATCTATGAATAAAGATGCTGAGGAAAACAAAATAACATGTCATAATTAAAAAATGTAGAATCTATCAAATTTGAAAATCTTAAGGAATCAAGTTATTTTCTCCATACGCAATTTCCATAGGGTCTAAAGTTGGGCCTGTTATTGGTTGGTTATTTCCTCTATCTCTGCTCTATCTTTTTTCCTGGATATCTTGTAGATAAGACACATTTTTGGGTTGAAGGTTTTGGAGGTGGGTAGAGGCAGAGCAGTTGAATTTTTCTTACTTACAGGATGAATCTCTATTCTTATAAATGGACCTAAAAGTATTCTATTCACTGACAACTCTGAAGTTGATATTATTCTCTGATAATCCCTATTAAAACCCAGATGCTTATATGCAAAAAGAGTAAGAGAATATTTTTTTTCTTACAGTACGAATACACCTATGAATCTAAACAAGTAATTTATAAGTTTAGTCTGGGAATGAATGAGGTTGAATGATTTTTCTAAGCAAATCATTTTTTGTGGAGAAAATAATAACTTGTTTTTATATAAAAACATATGTTTAGTTTCTATAAATCATTTAAATAGCATTATTTTTTGCATTGTATTTGTTTCAAAGTCAAATTTGGCCTTGTCTTGGAAAGAATTGAGTTTTTAATTTTATTAGTCTTTGTAAAATTTTACATACCATTGAACTAATTCATTTCTTCAGTATTCAGTAGATTTGTAATGATTGATTACAGATATGCAAGGTTTTTAAAGATTATTCAAATTTTCTTAGTTTTGCTTACCTTTAAAGGATGGGTGTGGATATAGTGTTTTCACACGTGCAGACTAGGTAGCAGTCTGCCCCAGCAGAATGACATCCATTTATTTTAAAATTTTTATTTCTTGAAAAATGTTTATATGAGTATTGTATTTACATAGTTTCCACATCTTACTTTACCCTCACCAAGTCTTTGTTGTGTCCCTGAGAGTTTACTGTTCCTCTTGGGGCTGTTTTCTATCAAGTCTCTTTAATTCATTTCTTGGTTGATACTCCTTCTTCTTAGGGTCAGGAACTCATTACCTCTCCCCTCTACCTGTTTTACACCCTCACGACCAGAGTCACCTCCACTGTGCTTCCTAGCCAAAGCACAGGGCCTCCGCTTGTGAGTGATGCCCCAAGTGAGAGATGGTACAATCTCTCCAGAGTGTTAAATCCAGTGAGAGGTGGGACCAGTTCTTCATAGCCCCTAGATTTCACTTGATACCTGGCTGCTTTCCCAACCACGGACATCCACATTCTCTAGGTGTAATATAAGCCAAGGATATTAGCACTGATCCCTGCTTCTGCATAGCCACAGACTTAGAAGTGGTCTTCAGCAGCAGCTACAGCTCCGATCCCACCATGGCCTCAGGTGGCTGGACTCCCCATTCACAACTGGCAACACATCTCAACCCTTAAGTCTCCCAGTCCACATATCTTCACAATGCTCAAGCTGCTCCACTTCTCTTTCTTTCCCATCTGACCACCACATACTTACGTATTGTGATGGTCCTGCTGCAGTCTGGCCAAGCAGATGGTGGGATTCGGGGTAACATCTTCCATTCTTGCTGAATGTCATGGAGGCAAGTAGTAGGTGTCTATGGCCAGGTTGTGCTATGCTCTGGAGGGCAGATCTGGTTGGCACGACAGTCTACAGATCTCTAACTTCCTCCTCCAAATTTGGGTTGCTTGAATTTGATTTGATATGATTTGATTTAGGTGTATCCTAGGCATAAGACAGCTTTGGCTACCAAGGCAGGCATCAAGCTAGGATGAACAAAGGACTGCCATCTGCTCTGCCCCCGACTGACATAAGAACACCACCACAAATAAGGTGTCACTTTGCCAATTGCCAAGGAGAACTGTATCAATATTAATTATCTGTCATTCATCTAGCCAAATTTAGATATTAGTAATACTGCATTATGGCTTCTTCACATTTAATTTTGTTTGCATATTTCATGTTTCTTTTCTTATACATACAGAAATTTCTCTTATTTTGCTTATAATTTTCTTTCCTGAAATACTCCAACTCTTTTTAGTAACATGAGTGTCTACTTTTAAATTTTTTGTAGTAAAACTTTAGTGTGTGTGTGTGTATATATATGTATATGTATACATATACATATATATATATGTCTTCAAATAAATCTTTTAATTGTATTTTCTGTTTTCATCCAATAATTTTAAGTACTGAATTTGTAAATGCTCAAAATAAACTTATATTAGTTTTACTTTTGTATTTGAATTTTAAATTACTCTGTAGACTCTAATAAATCTTTGAACTTTGAAATCATTTCATAATAATTAAACATATTACCAACTTTTCGTAAATGTTCAGTGGAAGCTTGATTAAAATTTTGACCTACTGTTTGTCAGATGCATTTTCTATGAAGATCATTCATGACTGAAAGATATTAAAATGGGATGGTTACACCAGAACTACTTGGTCCCCTTAGAAGTAGCCCCAAGATAACAGGTGACCACATTAAAAAACAAAACCAAAAACAAACAAAACAACAACAACAAACAAACAAAACAGAGATCTAAGATTGCACAAAGGGCACTTTATATATAGGATGCCGGAGACAGACTGTCAGTAAGATTATCACAATCTGGAGAATGTTAATCAGAGAGAAGATAGAGGTGAATTTTATCCTAGTAGAAAGTATTAAATTGATTTTGAGCTTATGTCAAGGAGATAGACACATTGCTTTCACCAGCATCCTGGAGCTGAAAGGATTTGCGGCACCATGAGGAGAACAATAATACCAACCAACCACAGCTCCCAGGGTCTAAACCACCAGCCTGGGAGCACTTAGGGGGGGGATCCAGGGCTTCAGCTGGGCATAGGTGGAAGAAGAGAATCTTGACCTCATGAAGGCTGGATGCCCCAGGGGGTGGGAATTTTGAGGGTGGGGAGGTGGGAGTGGGGAGGAGTAGATAGAGGTTACATCCACAGAGAAGAAGGAGGAGGGGTGAGGGGATTGGGGGTTCCGGGGTGGGTGGGGGATGGGGTAAGGGGACAACATAGGAAATGTAAATAAAACATCCAATAAAAAAAAAAATAAAAAAAATAAAAAAAATAAAAGGAGAAAAAAAAATTAAAAAAAAGAAAAGAAAAAAAAAAAGACCACATACCACTAGTCATCTCAAGGTTTTCTTTGGCAGAGGCTGGAAAAGCCAGTACAGAGATCCACAGGCAAACAGTTTGTAAAGAGAGTGTAAGTTTGAAGTCTCTATAGGATCCCTCCCTCCCTTTGAGATCAGGGAACACTGGAGAGGAAAGAGTCAGAGGGGATGGAGGAAAGCAGAAGAACATGGCTCACAGAATCAACAAAGCAGGGCTTCAATGGGTTCACAGAGTCTGAAACCACAAGTATAGGGCCTGTATACTTCTCCACAAGGTGCTCTGAATATATATTGTGGCTTTTAGCTTGAGGTTTTTGAGAAACTCCTAAGTGTTGTGGCTGGTGTATCTCTGACACTTTTGTATGTTTTCAAGACTCTCTTGTTCCCTCTCCTGGCTTTCTTTGTTCAGCCTCAATGTGACAGCTTTTGCCTTGTTTGTTGTATCTTATATTTTGTCTTGCTTGGCTGTCATTTCTTGCAGGCCTGCCCTTTTCTGAGGAAGAAATGGAAGTGAAGCTGCTCTGCAGTAGAGCAGAAGTTGCAGGAACAAGGACGAGGGTGGGAGGGGAAATTGTGGTTGTGATGTATGGTTAAGGAAAGACTCTTTTTTCAATTCACAAAAAGAGGAAGGAAGACCTATAAAAAGAATTTTGGAGCCATGACGTATTATATAAATATAATTTTTTCTTTTATATTATGTACATAATGAAACAATGAAGTAAAAGTGTTAATAATTATCATTTCTCTATCTTCCAAGAGACCTACAGAATGCTTATTCACTAACATGAGGATTGAAATACTCCATTGTGATTCATTTGTTCAGACATATTTAAAAAATATTTTTGTCATTTACCATACAGGATTTGATTATTTCTTATGTCTAAGACATAGAAACTTTCTTAATTCAATTGAAAAAAAATGTCCATTTTGATTTGCCTTATTTTTGTAGTCCAGAAAGCATTTTTGTATATTTCATTTATGTTGATTCAAAATAAGAGTTGCTTTATGTTTAGAATGGAGTTTTCTCTAAATTTAACTTTTCTATGGATACAGGTAAAAGAAAATTTGAAGTTAGTTACTTCTGTGAAATGACCTTCCTTTGTTTTTTTTTTTTTTCATTAAAAAAAAAATGGTTTGGGCAGGGCAGTGGTGGTGCATGCCTCTAATCCCAGCACTTGGGAGGTAGAAGCAGGCAGATTTCTGAGTTCGAGGCCAGCCTGGTCTACAGAGTGAGTTCCAGGACAACCAAGACTACACAGAGAAATCCTGTCTCAAAAAGCAAATTAAAAAAAAAAAAAGGTTTGGTTTTCGTTTTTTAGGTTTTTTTGTTTGTTTTGGTGATTTTTGTTTTTCTTGTTTTTGTTGATGTTGTTGCTTGCTGTTGTTTTGTTGTTTTGGTTTGTTTTTGTGTTTGATTTTGCTTTTAAAGAAACTTACATAGAGAACTTGTTTAGAGATTTGTCTTTCTTTTTCATAGGCACCTGGTAATATATAGAGTAACTTCTGCCTGGTATTCTCTTCAATTTTGATTGAAGTTTCCAGTATCCCCAAACACTAAGTTTTCTTGTGATAGAAAAACACAATGTTTCAAAGAGAAGATGCGGTTACAAACTCATTTCTAAGCCACCACTGAGAACATACTTTTTTTTCCTATAACCATTCTACATTTGTTTTTGTGTCTCTGTGGGGTTTTTTGTCTGTTATTTTTTTACACTCCAGATTTTATTCTCCCCTCACTGTCTACCTCTGACTATTCCACATCCAAAATCTCCTTCTCATGACCCCTGTCTACAAAAGGATGTCCCCACCCCCCAACCACACCCAACCAGACCTCTAAACTCCAAAGGACCTCCAGTCTCTTTAAGGTTAGGTGCATCTTCCCTGACTGAATCCAGATCCAGCAGTCCTCTGGTGTATATTTATTGGGGTCCTCATATCAGCTGGTGTATGCTGCCTGGTTGGTGGTCCAGTGTTTGAAAGATCTCAGTGGTTCAGGTTAATGGAGACTGCTGGTTTTCCTAAAGGGTCACCCTCTTCTCAGCTTCTTCCAGTTTTTCCCTAATTCAAGCACAGGAGTCAGCTGCATCTGTTCATTGGTTGGGTGCAAATATCTGCATCTGGCTCTTTCAGATTCGTGTTGGGGCTTCCAGAGTATGGTCCCTTTTTGTGAGCATTCCTTAACCTTCTTAATAATTTCAGGCCTTGAGACCTCTCCTTGAGCTGGATCCCAACTTGGACCTGTCACTGGATCTTCTTTTCCTCAGGCTCCTCTCCAATTCCATCCCTGCAATTCTTTCAGACAGGAACAAATATGGATCAGAGTTTTGACTGTGGGATGGCAACCTCCTTCCTCACTTGATGCCCTGTCTTCCTACTGGAGGTGGGCTCTATAAGTTCCTTCTCTCTATTGTAGCACATTTCATCAAAGGACTCCCTTTGAATCCTGAGAGTCTATCCACTCCAAGCTCTCTCGTGCATTTTGTAGGGTCCCCACAATGTCCCATCTCCAGAGGTTGCCAGTTTCCTTTCTTTCTGCTGGCCCTCAGGGCTTCAGTCCTTTCCCTCACCCAGTACTAGATCAGTTTCCCCTGTCTCCCCCCACTCCACCCCACCTGTCCACTTTCCCTCGAGGGTCCCTCTCTTCCCACTTGTGATTGCTTTCTTCTCCCTCCCAAGTGGGACTGAGGATTCCTGACTTGGGCCCTTCAGGTTGTTGACCTTTCTTTTTTAGTTCTGTGGAGTGTATCTTGGGTACTCTGTAGTTTTCTATTTCTTTCTTTCTTTCTTTCTTTCTTTCTTTCTTTCTTTCTTTCTTTCTTTCTTTCTTTCTTTCTT